CTTTGCGTGTGTCACCGCCTTTTGGAATCGGTTTGACAACGGCGCATTTCCAGTCACAAGGCACGCAGCCTATGGACAGGGATCGGTTGAACAGGTCGGTTACAGCAGGTGAGATCACAGCTGACAAGGACTTGAGGATCAGCGGATGGAGACCATCCGGTCCAGCTGGCTTCGTGCTGTCTAGGCAGCTGACTAGCCCATGTACCTCCGCGACGTCGCAGATCAAGTCGGTTAGCTCAGTCGGTGCGGCGACGGCAGAGCTTGGCGCGCAGGTTTGGTTAGTTGCGAATACAGAAGCGAAGTGCGCCGCTAATGCGGACGCACGCTCGGTGCTTGAACTTAGTGGTTGTCCGTCCGAACCCACTAGCACCGGCACATCACCTGCAGACTTCAGGCGTCGCTTCACGTACGCAAATATGCGCTTCGGGGCAGTTTTAGCTGAGCAAGCAAGCTGCTCCTCAAACTGACGGCGTTTTCGCGTCTTTGTGCTGTTGCACAAGTTTCGTTGTCGCTTGTATGCCTCATAGTCATCGGCAGAGCCAGACAGGAGGAACGCATTCCATAGTCGACGCCGTTGTCGAGACAGTCGGTTATACTCTTTGTCAAACCAATGGGGTTTCATTGGTCCAACTTTCCGAGTCTTGAGGGGTACAAATTGCGCACACAATGAGTGCACTGCCCCTTTAATGTTTGCCCAGCAAGTTTCAACGGATGAATCCTGTGGCATAGACCAATCAAGCTGATTGGCAGCTAGAATGAGGCCATCGAAGTCAGCTTTCCAATAGTTGTATGTTGGCGCCACTGGACGCACACATGGAAGCTGCAGGTCTATAGTGGCCATAATTGTCGAGTGATCACTGGCCGCCATGGGCTCAAGAACTTCTATGTCATGCACTGTTTGTTCGCAGCTGGTTAGCAGCAGGTCCAGGCATGATGGCATTGAGCGCGGGGTTATGCGGGTGGGTTGCGTGATGTGCTGCACCGTTCCGGTTTCCAGTACCAGTTCGGCGAATCTTGTCTCCACTTCATTATGGCCAGGGAGAAGCTGAACTTCAGGCCATAAGATTCGAGGAAGGTTAAAGTCGCCAGTGAGCAGGAACTGCGGGCGACTCATTTGGTTTTGGACGTGTGTGAGCCAATCCAATCCGTTACTCAGTGGGCTACGATATGCCACACCCACAAGCAGTTCGCCGCGTCGTAGGTGGATCGAACACCACAGCTGCTCACATAGACCGTCAATGCTTCGGTAGGTGCTCACGAGTCTCCCGCACAGGGTAGACCGGAGGTAAAGTAGGACGCCACCGCGGCTATTCGACTGTCGATCACAGCGGAAGCACGAATAGTCCGTGATCGCAATTTCTTCGCTTGTCACTTCAGATGTCAACCACGTCTCAGCCAAACCAACCACATCTGGCCGACGTGAAGCAATGAAGCGGATCAGATCATCGTGCTTGTTCATTAAGCTGCATACATTAATGAACGCTACACGCAATCCGCGGTAGGAACCGCTGGGCGAGCTTGAAGCGTCATTGCTCTGTTTACCCGGATTCGGGGTATCCGGGCAACTGTGCGAAAATTTACGATACGCAGGTTAGTTTCACCGGCGTCCGTGCGTCGTTTCAGTTCGATCACGGCAGACTTCAGCTGCTCTCGTTCTGCGGGATCAAGGTCTGGCCGGACATGAATTTTCATCCCCTTTAGGCGACCGAGGCGGGACAGTACTAACCTTGGGGCAGTTTCGTCGGCGAACGCGATGCGCAGAGGCCGACACTTGCCATCAACTTGTTTCCCCAGACGAGTGACTTGTTTCACTCGTAACCCGGGTTCGCCAACATCCAGTAGTTTGTCGGTTAGAGACTGCAAGAATTGCACATCATGGTCATAGCGTACCTGGGGACTGGGATCAGTCGACTCAGGTGCGTGGAAAATCATGACGTTGCATAGCCGTCCCCGTGGTGACTTGCTATCGCTTGGCTTCACCGGTTTCGGTAAGGCCGGTTTCTCGGCTAGCAATTTCTCAAGTCGTGTTACCTTGTTTAGCACAGACTTTAGTTGTGACACTGTAGACGGTGATTTCGATTTGTTGTTGTTTACCGCCTTACAACTTTTCTTTTTAGGGGCCTGGACCCAGCCGGGTGGTTTTGCGGCGCCAGCGCTGGCCACGGCTGCGTAGGTCGCAGTTGCAGTTGGAGTGCCGACAGACGGCTTTTTTCGGTTGTCTTGTGAACTATGCATTGGTGTGTCCGCTGATGAAGCGGAGGAGGAGCGGCTTCGATTGCGCACAGTATGGATGCATGGAGGAGTCACCGGCGGTAGTACGGGCGTCACCAATGCGGCGTTATTATCTGTCTTTTTCGCCAAAGTCAGATTCGCCAGAAGGGACTTATCGTTAACAATAAGTCGGCATTTGTCACAGTGGAATGTTAGCGCGGAAGATGCCGTTCTTTTCAGGCATTCATAAAGATCGTGCTCAATGCCGCTGCACGTTGTGTGGGCCCATCCTTCGCACAGACCGCACTGCAGCGCTTTAGACCGAGAAGTGACATTTCTGCTGCAGCTCAGGCACTTAGATGCTGCTGCTGCTCTCGTTTTGTCGAGAGTAGCGTCCAAAGTGCTAGACGCACGGGAGGTCGCAGCTCGCTGGACCTTGCTCGTCATGCTTGATGTCTTGTGGATAGGTGTCGCTATCCAAATCACCTTGGATGTGA